CATTGGTCTGGCTGACTGAATGTCCTTCAGTGATGCACTTAACCTATATGACTATGGGCCCAGAATCAAAAACTTGAAGTATTATTTAATCCAGCGTACTAATTCAACCAATGGATTTTTCAGTTTATTTATTTATGAATATGCAGAAAATACAATGAAACGATAATTGATACAACATAGCCAGTGATAGGAAATGCTCGTTTTATCTAATATTACTCTGAAATATCGTTTCTAGCGGGCAGAAATCATAAATTTGGGTTATTCTGCTACTGAAGCTGTGCTAATCTTGACACAGCAACAACAGCAAAGTGTTCGCTCTTTTGATCTTCGAAAATTTTGCCATTCAAACTCACTGAAAAAATGAAAAAAACTATAAAACTAAAACAACTCATAGCCGCAGCATACTGTAATTCACTCCGAACGCCTAACGTGTCGGAAAGATTAGGCTCATGTGCTTGCATACCATGTTTTCGACACGCTTACAGACCTTCAAATGTTTGAATGCTGCTCATCTAATTCGAACGAGACATAACTACGTTCACGTTTAAAACTGACTACTTGCAACTTTCACTTTCTATACACTCATATTTGAAGTTGTTACTCTATAGTTTCATTAAGCTACAGCCATAGTTTCATTTGGTCGACCTTATACTCGAATAGATTCGTATTAACACTTCGTTTTCAACTTATCTATTTGAATTAGTACAGACAATAATATGAGTTCGGACAATTATTGTCAGTTTGAGAATAAAAATTAATGTCATTGCATGAGGTGAGATGATTGACTTAATATCTTGTTAAGCTCCAGATCGCAGGTATAAACAAATTAAAAAACTAATGTATTTTCAGTTTTGTTTTATCTACCAGCAAGACTGGTGCAGAATTAAACGTATCATGGCAAAAATCAACCATTGCAGAGTACATTGGAAGTAAGGAAAATTTATCCCTCCTCCAAAACAGGGCTACAAATTTTCGACAAGACTGTGCCCGAAGTCTTTATTATCGATTATGCGTTATACTTTTATTTAATTATCGTTGTTGGAGGCTGTTCTACAATCAGTGGCAGCGAAAATAACAGCGCTCGCTTGGGATTATGTTACAATTTTCGACTACATCAGCACAACTCGGTTTTCTGTTTCGGTTTCTAAGGAACCACCTAAATCAGCGATCGACAAAGGCATTTCTTTCATTCGTACATTGAGAGGCCCATCTTTTGTAGTTATCCAATTTTAATCGAAAAAATTACAGAATTGAAACTGAGTCCTTTCATATAAAAGCCTAGTAGCCATGTCCATCACCGACATCAGGGTTCAGGGCATTTATTTTTAATTTGAAGATAATAAACGGCCAAAAATCAGATACTGCATTTATAGCAATTGTCAAACAGTATCGAGAAAGAGCATCAGACAAGAGGTAGTGACTACCTCCTGCACTTCCTCCTTGTTCCAATATGCCGCGATTTCTGATTCATGAAAACAAGTAATGACCGAAAAATAGAATTTCAACTGCTTGCTTACCGCCGTTTGTACGTGGAGTCTATTCGAATTAGGTGAAAAGCAATCAAAAGCAAAAATTGGCGAGCTAATGGAATTAATTAAAGATATCAGTAAACGTGCCGCGCCTGCGGCAGCGATCAACATCGGATCATCGGACGAACGAGTCGCCATCGCCGCAGCACGCTGGAATGTGAAAACCTATCTTCATGAAGACTGATTCGTCCGGTCAGTCAACTGGAAATGACCAAGTGAACAGAAAGTTCATCCAAGATCGAATCAGAGATGGGCCATGATCGTTGGACTCGCAACCGTGGCCGCGGCGTGATCGATGTTCAGCACGACTACGATAGGCATGCTCGTCAAACGGAGATGATCGATCAGGGGATAAGACGCCCATCGCGCGAACAGCAGTCCAAC